CTGGGGATTTACCTCGATTTGTACCTGAGATCAATAGAGGCGCAGTTTTCTTGCAGCAAGTCTATCGCATAGAGCGCGTCAATGGTGGCTCTATTTATGTAGGGGAAGTCATTTGCCTACAGACACTTTATAGTCCAAGCCGTCAAGCACTCCCTGACTCGTCTATTATGCGGAGATCCGCCCAAGAGCAAGCTGTTAAACACTGGAGAATGCTGAAGTAGGGAAGGGGGTCAGATTTTTATATCTAAGTGTACAAGCCTGGTCTGCGAAAGCGACAAAGTACACACATGACCTTTTATTTGTGGTTTATCTCACCTCTGCCCTAGGTGTCATAAAAGGTGGTCTTGGGGTGGGTAGCGACGAAGGGTTTAAGCAAGGCAATTTTATTTGTAAGGCTTCCACAGATGATGGATTGCTTGAGGCATTAAGCGCAAAGAGGCCCAACATCTGCGTTTTTGGCTGCAACGGAGAAGCCAAAACAGGATTACAAGTCTACGGATGTGTGGGCTGTGTCACTCAGCCTCAGCTTACAATCTGTTGTGCTCGAGAGAAGAGCCTGGAAAAATCCTGCTCTCACATGCAACCCCAGTGTCCCTCCCGAATCGTGCCTGCTTGTATTGTGAGAGGCTTACTTTTAGAATCTGAAAAGTAAGAGCAGGCAAAAGGCCGAAGAAGTTGAACATCAGAACTGGACTTTGCAGAAGTGCGCTGGTCGGAGCAAAGGAGCCACATAAGGTAAAGACCCACATGCACGAGGCATTGCACTTGAGGCGGCTACATAGAAAAAGAACAGCAGTTTTAGACCAACCACAGGTCAATATTGCGCTGATTTGAACTCCTATTAGTGGTAAGAGAGTGCTAGAGTCAATTACCAGTGGGCGGGAAGAGGATCTGCTATCGGAGGGGATGGCGCCTAAGCGTAATACGTCATTTCACTCGTCATTCCAGTCCTTCAGACTCAGAGTTGGTGCCAAGTGACATAACACAAGGACTCTCAAGACCATGGCATTTAATTGCTACTTCGAAGCGGAATCGGATCGACCAGCATGGCCTGTCACTTCTATGTTGGATCCATACACCACGACGTAAAATTAAAGGTACGCCATAGGAGATCCAATGAAACGCGCACACGCAACTTTCTCCGTAAGCTGTTAAGATTAGTGTGCCAGAGAGCGCTAGGATGAAGAACTACCTGGTCTTCTCAACAACGCTCACTTCATGTGTGGTGAGCGGAGTACAATCGGCAGCTCAACAAGATGAGGCAGGGTCTTCGTCAGCCCGGCTCAGCAGTGTAGTAGGAAAGTCGTTTCGAAGCATGAGTCCTGTCTTCCTGACTAACACTGGCTCATTACTAGAAAATACAAGGAGACCTTCACCCAGGGAACAACAGGGATGGGCAAACATCACGGAGTTCGCCATGTGTTAAAACCTGACGAGCTGCCAGCAAAATGGCCACCTGCTGGTCGCCCACCGCAGCGTGCTGAGCTGACGCTTTGGTCGGCCCTTTGGTTTTGTTCCGTGATATTGAAAGTCCACCTTAGGCAGAAGAGATTGAGGGGCAGGCAAATGATTCATTGAAAAGGCAGGGTGCAGGCATCGGCCAGCGCCATTGGGCACATCCCTATGTTAATGGCAAACAGTGGCAGGAGGTGGCATACGCGCGTTGACGTCAAGCCGCTTACCAAGAAGACTTTTAACCAGATATTCCGATACCTCATACTGAAAAACTGCTTGACAAGCTACATGGATCAACAGCCTATTCGACATTTGCTCTTACGGACCCTTTATTCGGCACGGGCAAACTCGAATGTATTTGTATGCCGTCGGGATATGTTAGTGTACTAGCTGAATAGTAGCGGTAAATTTATAAGAACATTTGTGAGCCGGTGCAGAAACGGTAGATAGCTGTCTACATTGACGGCGTCTAAGTCTAGAGCGGAAACGCACAACAGCACCTACGGCATCTACAGCATGGTGTGCGATTAAGCTATTACAAGACAAGCAGTAGTATTTCAAAGCACGCATATTTTTTAATGAGGATAAATGTGCATGTGGGGTTTCGTGTTTTTGTTGCATGAAATGAGCCCGATACGGTAAAATTTGAAGCCCTCAAGGCATGGACTTCACCTTCACGCACCCTTGGAACCTTGAAAAGTTCTCCAGGCTTGCATCTTATTGTCGAGATTGCAATCCGGATCTTACTGGAATTGCTGCGTCTTTCACTGAGCTACTTACGGAAACGTTCCTTCGTCAGACGGAAAGCGGAGGCTGAATGTCACAGCATGACGGTCGCCTTTCAACTTATTTGGTGCTCGCGCCGCCTATTATGTACGTCATTTCTTACTACTAACCGATACAAGTGACGGAGCAGTGGGCGCTATTCTCTCCCAATAGGTTGCGGGCTCTGAGAATTCGAATTGTTGATAACCATTCTCATCGCTTTACTAAAACCGAGTTGTGTATAGGAACAGCAGCTGTATGAGGTGTGGTGAATAAAAAATGCTGGCACTGTTTTGTCGGGGTTATTTTACTGTCTCTACTTATTATCGCTCACAAACGTGCCTTGCGGAGAGCTTCCAGAACTTTGGCATAATTCTAGAGATGTTTGCTGGCTTGGGTGCCTCCCACAGTACGAACGTAAAGTATATTACCGCCATTAGACTCTTAGGTATTATTGTTGCTGCACTGTCCCGTATGCCCCTTTGGGGCGTGGGAATCTACTCAGGTGCATGTACCGGTTGTATTCGCATACAAAGTCATATATTAGGAGCGGACGCACTGCTTAAATAGTATGCACCTGAATTTCCATTTATGTGTTTCACTCGTATTCCGTTTTCGTGCAGGAGGCCCAAGCATTTCAGTGCTTCAACGACCTTGAGCCATCCTGCCGCCGCGGTCGTTACTGGCTACTGTATGTGTGACTTTTGCCGCCGACTTCTCTTCGGTGATTAATTAACATATCCCGTTTCTGTGTGCTCGGGAAGGTGGCGATCGGGTGTGAGGTTTTCCGCTCCTCTGCACGCAGTTAGTCTCGGCGGGCACGTACAAAAACAGGGGCGTTTGTTTTTAAACAGAATGGCGAAGGTGCAGCAGGTTAATATATATTTGAACGTCCTCTACTACGCGAGTAATATGCAACAAGAAATAGCGAAGAATCGACTAAGTGTTTTGTCTGTTCCTGCACCTTGTTTCTTGCAGGGTGCTGTTACCTCGATATACGAGGACGCAGTGTACGTGCGTGTGCGTTCCTTCCTCTGTGCTACTGGCTGTCAGTGCTCGGAGTGCTTGGAGGGTGCAGCAACTCTCACCTTAGTTGTCCGTCTTTCTTTCCTTCCGTCGAAAACTCTGAGGAGCGTATCCAGGGGCATGCAGGAGTTTTCTGGGAAACAATGAGTAACTTTTGATCTTTGTACTAAGTCTAGAGTTGAGGTCACTTTACGGAGACCTTATATGGCGTTACATTCTATATCTGCCATTTGCCTAACCACCCAAGGCGTCTGTAACCTTCTCTTTCAGCTCTCTGTAGGAAGTCACTGAGCTTCAGACCAAATTCATGCATAAGAAAAAGTTATTCAGTTTCCTACGATATATTCCTCCCTTTCCTGCCCGCGCCCTTCAGGTTTCAGACCCAATGAGATATCAGGGCTGCGCGTTTCTGCATCCTCTAAGCCCTCCATGCATCGAAACTAATGCCATCTGCCGCGCGGGCACACGGTATTGACTGTTATGCCAAGTTCACACTGCTCCGCAAAATGTAAGATGATGTTCATAGAGCCAGCCCCAAAATACCGTTATTTGCCAATTTCTAAATACAAGTACTTTGGTCAAAGTGCCTAAGTGTAGTTTAGCCCGCCACCTCCATATAACGTGCGTGCAATAAGCTGGTGTGGCAAGCTGGATGTGATACTGTGTGTGCTGTTCTGGGCTGCCTCTGTGAGCAAACGAACTCAAGTAGTGCATCTCCGTGGCCATGCTAAACACGACCGAGGCAAACAACTTTTTTCTAAAATACACAGGTACTACAGTTGCTGTCACGTTTTGGTGAACCCCGTGTGCAACACCGCTTTAAGCACTTCTCCACTAAAAAGCCCCGAATCCTAAAATTCGGAGACTCATTGAGGGCCTCCGATTTTTTCTCGCCAAAATCACAACGGTAGCTACGGGCAAGGATATAGCAACTAACCAAAACCTCTCAAGGATAGCTGAGACGAGAATGGGCTGAGTGCGTCTCGAACGTTCATGGTGTCCAAAGTTTTCGAAAGTGTGTTGTGTGTGTCTGTTGTCTGCGCAGTGCACTTAGCACTTGATCCTCTGTGTTCCTCGAGGTAAAGCATCCGCATGATGCAGGGGCATAGCCCACGTGTCTGCCTGCTACAAATTGAAAAGCCTCTTCGAGTTTTTCGACGCAGGAATGTGCTGTGTGACTTAGGCATGGGTTTAGAAGCCACCGATTATGACTGGTCACACTAAGTCTCCTCTGGGCTTCACCCAGTTGATCTTATTCTCGGGAGCCTCAAGATAAAAGAGCTTCATATCGATGCGGTACTGCCTGTGCTGGTCCAACCACAAGTAACCAAAGAAAACACCCACAATGGCGCCAAACAAGTACTCACGCAGGTACATTGCCGACTGGTAATCTGAAGAAGCGCAACACACGGAGACAGGTGGGGGGAACACGTCTATTTTGATCTATGTTTTTCTTCAAGAAGCATGACAGGTGCCAGCCCCGACGCGACCAGCACTGCGCTGTCTTCAACATGTTCTTGAGTGTAAAACTGGGTGTCCATATACAGCGCAACAAGCAATACCACTGATTTGCTAAAATCCCACTTTAGAGGTCCACAAAAAACACGCTTCTTAGCCGAATGCTGTAGACACCAAACATCCATCCCACGTATCTTACCCGCTAGAACCCGCTGCCGATAAGAAAGCCAAGCGCCTTCCCACGCAACTTCTTGTTCACGTGCAATTTCCTCAGGAGTCCGGTAGGGCGTGGGGATCTGCCGTCGGTAAATCTTTGCGGGCTTTGCAAATTTGTAAAACATATCTTCGTAGTCGCTGAATGTTAGCTCCCCCTTGATCAATTTCTCCATGTACGGCTTCAATTCTGGGGTGTCGTCACCCAGCTTTTTCAAAAAAGGATAAAACTGCGGCGGCACGTGGAAGACATGCTTTATCTGCGTCGATATCTCCGGGGGTATGTGGGCTGGAACGCTGCAAAACAGTCGTGCAACCCGAATTTCCAGAGGCACCAAAACATAACAAACGCATCATCACACCACATGGTGCTTACATTTTAGAAGTGGCGGGCCGAAATGACACGAGCACAACATAGGCACAGCCGTTGGAAGCCTCATACACAAACACAGCAGCAACCGGCACGACCAGATTCGCTCTCTGAAGCACACTAACTGGAGTCCCTTGCTAAGCATACATACACATTGTTATCCAGTGCTCATGCATGCATGCATGCATGTAAACGCTTCCTGCTGCATACAAGACCCCCCACCCCCGCTTTGCATCTACTTCCCAGCCCCCATACCCTTTGGACATACACGAGAATTTACCCTCCCATCCCTCATCTCGGAGAATAAATCCATTGATACACTTACACATAGGCATAGATGTATGCATATACGGACACGTGCATGCATGCGCATGCAGATGCAGACGCATGACTTGCGTGCGTAAGGAAGCGCTGGGACAAGCACACGTCGGAGCCTCCACCCACGTACCCGTATCCGTCTCGGGGAATAACTTCATGCTCATCTTCCCACAGCGGCTGCCAGGTCGGTCTGTCGTATTTGACATCAAAGAGCATGGGGTAGCCGGGACCACCTACGCGTCTGTAGAGGTTCTCCCCTCCCACGGGGACATTAGTTGTGTTATTCATGCCCCTTTGCAGCCCCTTCGGATAATCGGTGTGGCTCGCGAATCCCCTCCTGCCTCCACCCATAGCGCACACAGGGCAACTCTTGCTCGTGCAGCTGTGGCGCCCATTGGCTGATGCAGCGAACGATTGAAACGGCGAAGACGCGATGGAGAGCCCAAGAGGCTGCTGAAGAAATGAGGAATATCTCCTCAAGAGCTTCGGCCCGAGACGGAGCGAGGCCGATGCTCTACTCCTGGTGACTGCCGCAAGGGGCAGAGCAGCACAGCCCACGGCCATGGCGGCAACGAGGGGAGAATGCCTAGGAACACACAAGGGGTATGCCAGAAACTTTATACAGGCTGCATATGATATTCAACGCGTTGGATGCAAGAGGAGTCCACTGTATAGGAGCAGGTGTACAGACGGCAGGGATGGGGCTGCTTAACAGCTGTTCTTGGGGCTTAGTGGAGTGTATCTCCTGCACTCTCTAAGAAACTCCAATTAGCTTTCTAATGTTGCTTGTCCACTTTTTGATGAACCATTGTGCGCAAATGAGCCGCGCATGCAGCAGATAGCTTGTGCATTACCCTTCGGATTACAGGGGTTCGCATTTCGGCCTTGCACAGCGACGGCGAGCGCTAAAGCTTTCCTAAAACAAGAAGGAACACCAATTCTCGGATGAAAACTAAACCCTGAGCTCACGACGCATTTTTCGTGAGGCTCCTTTAACCGTAGTACCTTTTGGCATGCACAGTCGTCCCGTTCAGGAAAATAGCGGCTGTAGGGGCTGCGTTACATTTTTACATTTTTTGTCGCGCTCCTCCTTTTAACCCCAGATTAGTAAACGAACGACGAATAGATTTGTCCATACAGATTATCTATTTACAGTACTACTCACTCAACACAAAAGACGCAGTGCTGTGTGCCTTTACGGTAGGCTCTATGTGCAACCAGCTGTGAGTGCTTAGACTGTGCG